TAATGCCGGAGGCTTAAGTGGAGAGGAAATGTTTTGAGAATGATGAGGGCAATGAATGTACACATGTGCTTTACACAACTGATGTATGTATGGATTGTGATAAGAGTTGTATGAGCCCCTAACAAAACGATTAAAAAAAGAAAGAAAACAAAACAAACAAAAAAACCTACCCTACAATTATCATAGCTTTTCTCTACTGAGTGTCAGCATAAGTCCACGCCCATCCCAAAACCACATCCCTCTTTAGCTAGCACTCTATTGTCTTTTTGATTTTATGTCTTTCATTTGTTTATTCTGTATTTCTTCCCATTTCAATGTAAACTCTATAAAAGCAAGACTTTGTTTCATTCATAACCTTCAGCATTTAGCATAGAGACGTCCACAGCAAGCACTCAGCAATACAATGAATGAATAAATATGAGTGGACATGCTACAGACAAGACTACTAATTCAGATCTATAGAGAATAAAATGTTTCATTCTTAACTTCTCCAAATATTTTTGCATATAATATTTCATAAAAAGGTTATTTTAATTTGCATTAAAGGTTACCTGAGTTGTTTTTTAAACTTTAAGATAATTCATTAAATCTTTATGTTCAGAAAATATATTAATCACATAAATAACAAGGTTTAATTCATATTTTAAAAAGAATATGCATTGATTTATACTTTGTAACTACCAGTATGTGATATTTCACAAAATTTTCCAAAAAACAAAAAGTAGATTCTAACTAACCTTATGTTTTTCATGTTTTCGTCTTTTGGATTTCTTCTTCTCTCTTTCTTTCTTGTGTTTTTTTCTTGATTTTCTATAGGCTTTCTCATTTTTCTGTTTTTCATCCTCTTTTGTTTTCTGTTCTTGTGTTTCTTCAAATCCTGCATCATCTATTTCACCGTCTTCTAATTCACCATCTTCTCTGTAGAAGACAATAAAAAATTTCAAATGTCAATTGTAAAGTAAATCTAAAACATTTATGTTCCAAAGAAAAAATGCGTATGCCAAGAATTTAAGTTACATATATTTAAGTCAAGAATTGTGAAACTTTTTCCATAAAGAGTAAGATGGTGAATATGTTGTATTTGCAGACTACATATAGCCTTTATTGAAATTCTCTTTCCTTTTTATAACCCAGTCTCAGCACACAAAGATTGCCTGTCTTTCGTTTAGATTAAAATTACTGTCACTAAATTAAAGAATTAATTACTGCAGTGCTATCCCTACAAAACTGCCTTCAAAAGGAAGTTTATTAAAATACTTAAGGAAAAACACAGAATTGAGGTCTACAGTTTTTTAACTTAGTGCTCTTAGACAACCATAAATAGATTTCAACTAAAAACAATCTATTATTAATTCCTACCAGCAGAGAAACTTTTAGTAAATAAACAAATTTCAACAGGTAGGCAAGTAATAAAATTCCAGCTACAGCAGCAAAATTGAAACTTCATTAACATGAATCTATGAAAATATCTACAGTAAAACCATAAATCTAGTTCCATTTTCCAAATGTTAGTATCTTTACTATAATAGAGGCTGAATTTTGGAACTATACTTATTTTTATATTAATTTTAACATTTTTAAAGTTATAAAGCTAAAATGTGCGTTAATACTACTTTATATGAATAAACCAGCTAACCTATATTTGAAGATGAATACAAAAAATAACTTTAGCATTTAATCATGCTTCAATAACACTATAGTTTGAAAAAATAATACAAATAAGAGATAGTGCAAGAAGATAAATATCTTTGTATGATTGTCAGTAAGTGAAAGATAAACTATGTGTACATTTAAAAATAATTTTAAATTACTAGGAATATGCAACTTCTAAAATGCAAAACTGATGTTTTTCTCCTGCTAAAAATAACATAACTTGAATTTGTTTCAGAATAATCTACAGGGAATGGAAGACGTGGTCTCAACAGGGGTTGGTAATTGCTGAAACTGTGGTATGGGTATATGAGGATTCATTCTATTAGTCTTGTCACATGTTTGAAGTTTTTCATTAAAAAAAAAAAATTCCAAAAGCAAAACAAAAATTCCATGGTTCCCTTCTGACCTGAGACGATTCAAAACTCCTTAACACTGCTGAAAAAGTCCTTTATAATTGAGTTCGTACTTACTATTTTCAATTCTTAAACATTACCTAAAAACCCTGCTCACTGCACCAATTGTACACTCCAGTTCAGGGTTTCTGAGATCATCCAAATGTGTGATGGTGAACAAATCCCACTCTACATGCTAGCTGCATCCTGTTGCCTCAGCTTCCCTTCCCACCCAGTCCTTTTTGTTCAAACCCATTCACCCAACCAGGCTGTCAGTGGGCACTAGACATTCTCTTTTTCTGAAACGCAACATCTACTGGAATGACTCATAAACCCCTGGAGAAGGGGCTATCTTTTCATCTAGCAGAAAAACAGATACAAACACACAGGGCAAGGTCTGAGAGGCATCTCTTGTACAGATGTCCATGTTTCCAGGAGGAGTGCCTATTCACCAGAAACCAGATGTTTGCCCTGCCCACCCAGGAAGGTCCACTGATCCTACATCTTTTTTTAATTGTTCTATTAGGGGCCCATACAACGCTCACCACAATCCACACACACATCAACAATGCAAAGCACACCTGCACACTCACTGCCCCCATCACTCTCAAAACACCCGCTCTCCCACATCTTTCAGGGCTTTTAGTGGCAATTTATAAGACTGTAACATACCTCCTGATACTTGGTGAGCTTGGGTTCACAGGTCTTGTCAGCCCTCATTCATTGGCCTCAAATAACATGGTTCTCAAGAACCAGCAACAAAGGCCAAATGATTTTGTTGTGATAAAAATTGTATGAGCCCCCAATAAAATGATTTAAAAAAATTTTTAAAGTAAAAGTAAAAAGAGCACGTAACGCCACTATAAATTGGCTCTAAATTCAATGGCACTTATCACTACCTTCCATTATAAAATCATAGAAGCTGCGATGTAGCAACCATGAAACATACAACTTTCCTCTAGTTCCTAAATGCTTCCTCCTCCCCCACTATCATGATCCGAATTCTACCTTACAAATCTGGCTAGACCAGAGGATGTACACTGGTACGGATAGGAACTAGAAACACAGGGAATCCAGGGCGGATGATCCCTTC